CTCTTTCCTGCCTATGCAGGGGGTCAGACTCGATGATCTGTTAAGGTCCCTTCCGACCCAAACATCTATGAATCTATGAATAAGGGAATGGACTAAGGCTGGCAGCCTGCCTGGCACAGAAAAAATTAAGAGCTCTGCTCAGGCAAAACACTTAAGGCCTAAATTCTCAGAGAGATAGCTAACCTAGGGTTTCTGCACCAAAGAGGAAAGTCCAGGTGGAAATTTCCAGTGCAACTTTGCAGCTCTGAATGATGAATATAGTGCAAGACCATCAATAAAACAAAATGAACTGGACATAATTAATAATCAGCCAAATCCTATGGTTCACACTCAGGCAAACTTTAGTTGAGAAGACTGAGCATTTCACCTGAGTAGTGTGGAATCAAAAAAAATATATGCCTTAAACTTTGATTATTTTAGTTATAAGATGACATAACCGCTTTTTGGAGAATTGCTGGCTCTGTATAATAAAACAGATAAGAAAAAGTGTTTGTTCTTTGTAACTCCTCTACAACTGCTTCGCTCACCGCGGCCTTGAAGATAACAAAAAAGTATGTACAAATCTGATTTCCAGGTGCAAGAAGGAGGTTTGTGAATTAACCTCGCCTCCCCCATTAGTTCCCATCCTGATTACAACAAAGAAATAATAAAATAATATATAGCCGCTTTTCATGCTAATTTCACTATATGATCACGTGAGTTATAAACAACTGTTAAAAAGTATATAAGCCTCCTGATTTTGCTCTTGGGGGGGACCCCTTCCAAGTGCTTGGAAAATCCATGTCACTTTGGAATCCCCCCTACAGCTATAGTTTATTTTGAATAAAAGCTTCTGCTGACCTGACCCAAAAATATGCTGTGTGTGTTTCCACGACACTAGGAAATACAGGATTTTGCCCAGCATTTAATATCCTCAAAGCACTTTCAAAGAGTAAATTCATTTGGCAGTTTAGATGAAAATATTACAAAAGGGAAAAAGAGACTGACATGTCAAATGACTCAATCAGGCCTTCCACAGAAATTGATACCTAGTTGAGATTACAGCTCAAAAATTTATTTTTCCCTTATAATCAGTCTATACTCAGACTGCCCAGAAACACCTGTTTCAGGTGGCAAAAAAGGTAATAATTAAAGATAGAATACAACAATATTGCCAGAATTAGCTATTTTTCCCTTCCTTATCACTGCTACAAGGATAGCCTTAGAAAACTATCCAGCTGTTAAGGAATGCAGTAATTCAAGGTGGGGGTTTTTTTAAGGAGATCCAGTAATTTTTCTTCTGAGAGTCATCCCTTTGAATTAATTCTAGGCTGCGTGAAAAAGTCAGATGATCAGACACACCTCTTAAAATATCTCTTAGTGTTTGTCAGCATTTGAATGTTCTCCCATTCTCCACAGAAATAAATAATCAGTGCTTTATATCTTCCTGATTCATTTTTCATTGTTTAGCACCACAAATAAGCAAGAATGGAGAATAACATAAATTCCTGTGGGTGCATCTACATGTGCTATTAGTACGGAACAATTAACTCTGATCCTTATTGCGCCAGCATTTATTGCTCTCAGGTGCACCATTTGAACATGCACCCAGGACCACAGCTGAGCTGATTAAGAGCAACCCTGACTGGCAGGGGCCCTTGGAGAGGGTCAGCCTACCAGTCTGGAGCTGCTCCAACCCAGCTCAACATGCTGCGGAGGGACTGGCTGGGGCATGAGAGTGTTCTAGTGTGGGACTAGCCAGCAGGCAGCACCTGCACTGAAGTACCCTTGTGCCCCAGCCAAACTGGTCAGCATCTACATGTGTGCTGTTGTGGTGTAAAAAAACTCCACCATAGGACAGTACTTGTATAGTGTTCTAGTGTGGGACTAGCCAGCAGGCAGCACCTGCACTGAAGTACCCTTGTGCCCCAGCCAAACTGGTCAGCATCTACATGTGTGCTGTTGTGGTGTAAAAAAACTCCACCATAGGACAGTACTTGTATTTACAAGTAGTAACCTACTCTGGAGTTAATTAATTTACTCCGTACTAATAGCACTGCACATGTAAATGCTGAGACATTTACTGCAGAGCTAATTAGGGAGCTCTGCAGTAAATGTCTCTCAGAGGCGTTCCCTGTGTCAGGTAGGAGCAGGCACTTTGTAGATTAAAGGCATACTTGCAGGAAGAGTTGCTATCTACTGGCAGAAAGCAGAAAATAAAAAGCAGAATGCATAATACAAAATCCCAGCAAAGCAATTATTATTTCATTCTTACCAGAACAAAAACCTGATTGCATTACAACAGAGAGTGCTACATTAGGTTCATAAGGACTTCCGTATCAGGAATGACCTTTGAGGTCCTGTGATAGGAACCAATGCATACCCTTCAAGACAAGGAGTAAAACCCTGTAAATACTATGTAATACTTCTGAAGGAAATACTTTCTTGTCCTCCCGAGCTTATTTTCTGAAATGGAGCTTGAGATTTTGTCAGAAACATACCTTTCAAACAACATTTTTTAAATTATGAAACTATAGTGCATGGTCATTTTACTACACATTTGTTTTAGACATCCAGCTTGCAAAGGATACGTGATTTTCTTTTGGAGGTTATCATACTTGGATATCATAACTGTACAAGCACCACATCCACCTTCTCCGCAGCCTAGCTTTGTTCCACATAGGCCCACTAAGAGAAAAGGCATTAAGGAAAACAAAGGAGTGTAGCAAAGGCCCTAGAAAACCATCTTGGAGGAAACCTTATGAAGCCAAACCTTGCAATCTAGTATCTGAATATTCTGGCTGAAACCTAGTTCCTACATTTTTTACTTTTGATTATATTATTAACACTTTCATTTTTACAGGTCTCAAATACTGATGTGAAAACTACAGGATCAGTATAAGCGAGAAAACTAGGTGAACAAAACCAGAGGTGCCTGATATTAGTCATATAGCTCTAGATCCCTGTTTTAAAAACTAGTCTCTCCGATGATCAAATTCAGGAATCTGTACAAACAATGCGATCAAAAGAAGCAACAATAATACCAAGAGTTCTCTCCTGTTGAAGACAGTAATACTGCATGTGTTCAGAGTTCAGAGATCCATTGATTACAAAAGGAATTCAATGAAGCCCCAATTTTACTAGGAATTTAAGCCCATGCCTAACTTGAATTACTTGAGTTGTCCCAATGAGCTCAATTGGTCCATGGCTATCATCCAAAAAAGCCAGTTGACTGTATATACAGAAAGATCAGTAGCATATACACACATGTATTCTTACATAAAACATAAAATACATATTCATGCATATATAAAAACAAATATTTGCTTGTTTCCTGGGGCTATGTTACCTTGTACATGCTGAGCCTTCCTACTGTCACAACCCAAGGGTGTGATTTTTGTTTGTGTGCGCTTCGGCACTGCTAAATTATTTCCCGCCACTCGTAGCTTTCTTTGCAGGGTGCATTTCTAGGTTGCAAAAGAGAAATGCACGGTGCAAGGAGTTCCCGCCATTCGTATACAAATTTGTGTCCCACTATTGGACAGTTCTAAATTATTCCCACGTGGTGGCTAGCGATTGGCTTGCTAGCCGTATAAGAGGCTTGAGCGGTTTCTGCCCAAGTTGGAGATCTCCGGAGGAGAACCCTGCAAGGGGGGACTCCGTAAACATCTTGAGGAGAACTCTAGGTGTGCTGCGGAGCCTGTTGGACCCAGTGCATGTACCTTAGAGCTGGCTACAGGGGTCTGATCAGCCTCTCGCCTCTCCCCGTCGCCGCCTGATCCCTCGACGTACCCTTCCCTGCGCGCAAGTTCCACGGAGCCTAGCAAACTTCGTGTGAGTGTATTCAGAGCTTTTTGCTTCGAGTTACTTTCTTCGGTTGACACGACGGGCTCGCGGTTTAGAGCTTTCAACCGGATTGGGCTAGAAGGTTCACGGGAAGGAACTCTAATCCGCCTCTCTTCTTTTCTGTCTGTAACTGCAACTCAAGCAAGTTTTCCTGCCTGCACCGCAACCATCTTCGGTGTAAGTAAAATAATCTTAAATCAACCACTAAGCGTCCGTGCCTAATTCTAGCGTGCTGCCTGCCTTCCCCGACCCGGCGTGTCCGGGCTGCTGGCCACAGCCCGCCGCGTGGAAAACCCCCGAGGGCCTCGGACCGCTCCCGGCCCGCACACCTACAAGGTTTCCTTGACAGTCTGATTCTAATGGAGTCAGAAGCAGGAGGTACTGGGAGAAAGGACTAGTGGAAAGACACAGGGTCCCTGTGCAGAAAGGGTTTTTGCTGCAGCTCCACCATAGTTTCAGCCGCAAGGAAGGAAAGAGCCTCTTGAACTCTCCAGTGAAATGATACAGGAGACATTTGACAAAGGGACCCTCATGGAAATTTGCTTGCTCTATCAAATGTTGGTGCCCAGGCTTATTTTCACATGGAGAGAGCATACTGGCCCCTCGCTGTTGCTTTAACTCAGAGCCCAGGCTTATCAGTGCATTGTATACCAAATGACGATGGACT